GTCCTCCACCCCGGGACGCGAGCCTCCCTCCGGTCCGCCATCCCCGCGCCGTCGCCGCCGACCGGCCTGCCCTCCGTCCCCCGCCGCTGAGCCCGACCTCCAAAAGGCTGAAAAAATTATTATTGAGAGTCATAGCCCATAACCCCTCCAACTAGCCCCCCAACCCTCAACGGAGAAAGAACACATCGGCCCCGGCCCGGCGGCGCCCGGGAAAGGAAGAGAGAGCGACCTCGGTCCCGCGCCTGGGACCACCCTGGAGGGAGAAGCCGCCCCACGGTCCGTAGCCCGCCCCGCCGCCGCGGAGACCCGAGTGAGTGAGTGGGAGTGAGTGGGAGACGAGCGGGCGGGGCCCCCTGAGACCCTGCAGCCCCCATGGCTTCCCCCACCCCCGCCCCGCTCCGGCTCTTCGCTTTGCTGGACGCTCCACGTTGCTGTCGCGCCCCCGCCCCACGCCGGGCCAGCGTTTTCCTTTCCCCTCCACCTCCCCTCGAGAACCCCGTTTGGGGACTGTGCTCGGTTTCCCCACCTCACGCTCGCTCATCCTTGGGCATCCCAGAGCCCTCTTCCAAGTGTGGCCCTCTCCTGGGTGCGGTGCATTTCCTCCCTGTCCGCCTCCCTCTGTTCTTCATACCCTAGAGACTCGGCTCTAGATTTTTCTTGTTCCTCCAAAACATAACTCTCACCACCATTAAATAAATCAGAGGAAGGGAACACAGGCCTTGTTTTTCTGCTGCTTTTCCCGTGCGCGGGGAAGGCGGGGTAGCGGTAATTAATAGGGTCTATATCTGGCCCTGTGAAGCCTGAGGGATGAAGGGTGAACACCCCCCTTTTGGACAGGTCACTGGTGACTGTCCTCTGGCCACAGACAAAATTCACCATTTAGGCTTGAGCTCTTCATCCTCGTTAGTGTTTTCAGGGAAAACTGGGCGGAAAAAAAGTGTCTTTAGAGCAATACCAGTGTGTGGATTCTGGTTGATCTGGTGAGGCGCCTGGAAGAGCTCTACTCCTAAGCTCCTTCCCCTCCTGTCCAGAGGATGGACTATGTCCTTGACTAGAAAGGGAGGAGGAGAGGGAGGGAGAGGATGGGCCAGGTGCCCATCCCCACCTCCCAGAGAAACCGGAACCGCACACAGCGGGCTTCAACTTGGGGGTCAGTGGAGAGGGTCTTGGGGGTCTGCTAAGTATACTAACCTTTTTCTCCTTCCTACCCACCCTACCCTGGGAATGGGTCCCTCATCTTAGATTTTCCAGCAGAAAAACACCCCTATTGCTTTCTGGGCACCTGTCCCCACCCCCCTCTTAGCAGAGGGGGAACAGGCTTGTGTGGGAGGACGGATTAGGGAGGTTTCACACACTAGGGGAGCTTTGCCGAGGACCTGGCAGGTCTGGTCCAAGAGCAGGCCTTGCAGTGGGAGGAGACTCAAACAATTTTAAGTATCGGAAGGTGATGTTCAGGCGTCAGATGTACAGTTTTTCCTTCCCTGCCCGGGAACCTTTTCCCATTTCCCTCACCGGGTCTGGTTACTTGGACTTGGATTAAAAGAATCGTTAGGCTTGGGCCCTGCTGGCATCGGGCCTTCTGATTGTCAGCCCTGTGCCTCCCCGCAGTTTAACCGGGAGTTTCTTTGGCCAAGAGGACCGGAGAACTGGATTTGAATTCCTGCCTTTACTTTCCTGGCTGTTGGGGTGCTGGAGCGGAGCCCGCCGGGCGTTAAATGAAAAGGCTCTTTTATTTTTTTAATCCACCGTACCTACAGCAACTCCAAACGGAGACCACCAAGCCCCGGAATACAGATGAAGCGGGAGGGGTGGGGGTGGGAATGTGACCTTATCTATTCCAGCCCACCGCCTTCAGCCAGGAAAACTCATTTGAAGCAGAGCCTTAATTCTGTGGTCATGGGAGGCGGTGAAGGGAAAGGGAGAAAAAAAGTTCAGCCTCTCGGGAAACCAAGACATGGATATGGTAGGGTGATAAAATACGTCGAGTAGGCCTTATGAGTAGAATTTATATAAAATGTATTAGGCGGTGGGCGGGGGAGGGGGCCGTTCCCCACAGCGCGCATGTGCATCGGAAACTTTTCCTTGGTTCTGCGGCCCTCGCCAGCTCCCTTTACTGGGCATGCGTAGTTTGCCGGCGGATCCTTCGCGAAGTACGCAGGGAGGTGTAGTGTGCACAGAAAGTAGGTCACTTGCTTCATCCCGAGCGTGAGGTTTCTGAGGACTACAATTCCCAGAGTGCAGAGCGCGACTTTGCCGCCGGCCTCTCCACTTTGGGGCTCAGTCAAGTCTTCCTGGCTTCGGAGGAACCTGGAGTGTCCTAGAAAAGGCCGTCTTAGGCGGAAGGAGCCTCGCAGTCAGACTTGGGCTCTGCCAGCCCGGGTTTGGAGGAGATGGTGGGAGACCCTGGGCGGGGCTGCGCAGTTGGCACAAGTCCTGGAAGCCTTTCAACCACACCTGCCCGATGGGTGCTCCAGGACCAGTGGGGTGGGTTTGTCCCCTGCCCTGACCCCCTGGAGCTCAGCTCTGACTCCCTGGCACCCGGTTTATAACACCTACTGGCTTTGTCAAAGTTGAGGATCCTCCTCCCTGACGCCTCTGTCCACACATACTTGAATCCAGTTGTGCTTGATTGTAAGACGATTTGGATGTTAAGGCTTCAGATGCCTGAATTTTTACAGGCTGTCATGGTTTGGGAGCCTGGTGGTTCACTTGCCATTCTCTCTCCTTTTCTCCTTTAAAACATAACTTTTTCTTCTTAAAATTTTTCCTTTGCATTTTTGTTAGGTGTTTCTCTGGAATCTCCATTACCATATCATTGTCTGAAGCCATCCGCTTCCCCCCAGTTTTGTCCTTTTATGCACTTTTCTTTAAAACACAAGTCACACAAGGGATCTGAGTCCAGGGTTAACTTGGTTGCTGAAAGTAAATAAGTGAAGGGGCATAAGATTCCAAATAAGATAGGACAGAATTTATTCTCACAGTCACAACTTTTTTATATATTGACAGAGGCAGATTTGCTATTGTTAAACTCAGCCCCCTCCCCTTTTTGCAACTTTTCTGGCCTTTTGCCCCTGAGTCAAGGTTGGAAAAGTTCTTAGAGTCCTCTCCTGCTGCTTAACCCAAATCTACTTGTTCCTTTTATTGAAGGATAGTTATTTCTAAGCTTTCTAATCTTACCACATTCTATGGATATTTTATATATAAGCTCTAGAATTTGTCCATCACCTAAAAAAAAAATGAACAAACTCATCAGAGTAGTTACTTCTATCTTTAAAGACAAGACAGCACCAGTGCTTTAATCCTCTCTTCCATAAGCTTCTTTAAGTCAAATTTAGAGCCTGAGCTGATAGAGCAGAAAATCTCATTCTGGTTGTCTGGCATTTTTGTAAGGTTCCACCCCACAGCCATCTGGCCCGGCCTGTTCTCCAGTTAAAGAGGCAAAGGTGGCATTATATACACTTCCTTATTTGTGCGGCAGCTTCACTGAGCTTTAGGTGTGCAGCTTTAGTTGCTTATGCTGCAGAAAATGGTTAGTTGGGCAGGGCTGATGACAGTGGTTTATTGTATATTGAGGTGGGAGGCTTATTTCCCAGTGACTTTGGCCTGCATTTAAAATGCTCCCATTTTGAGGCTGAACTGTTTAGGGGAAGTTAACTTAGAAGGGAAATATGCATCCAAGTTTAAGGAGGGCTAGAAAGGCGGGAGCCCTTTGGTCTGGGTGACATACCAAGAAGCTATGTGATGCTTTGAGAAGTGTCATGCTGGATTCAGGTCTGTTTTACTTTTCTGAAAACACTGCCTTTAACTTCAGGCTCATTCTTGGGAACCATTGCCAACTTTCTTCACAACTTTTTAGTCTCCTCTGTGTTGGACACCTCTAGTGGGCTACTACTGTGGCCCTCACACACCTCTGTTCTTGCAGGGAGGCCCAGGTTCCTAGTGGCTAGTTTTGTATCTGGTGATGAACTCAGTCTTCAAAAGCAGAAAGGCTCTCCTACCACTCTTCTTACTCCTCTTAAAACTAGAAGTACCCTGGAATTGATCTGTGGTGACCTTAAATAAACATTTGAAGCAACTTGGAGATTAAGTCTTTGTTGGAGGCTGGGAAAGAGGGGAGATAAGAGTCCTGAGTATCCCTATGGAGGGTTTGGGAGAGGCCATGCTCATGGCACACACCTCTGTTGACTCCCCACGTGACCCTTTGCCTACTCAGACCTGAGATGAGGGCAGGACTAGACCTAGCCAGGGTGTACAATGCTCCAGATTGACCCAGTGCATCTTCTCTGAAACTTGCTTCGGAGAGCTTTGCTTAAGGATCCAGTCCTAACTATGCCCCTGGGAGCCATGGCCCAGGTATGAAAATTACAGGGAAGTGAGTTGAGGCAGAGGTGTGAAAATTACAGGGAAGTGAGTTGAGGCAGGTGTCCAGAAAACTCGAGATCCTCAAGCCTAGAATTAGCCTGTGGATACTCTGTGCTGGACCTAGAAGGCATTTTAATCAAATTCCAACTTCAGGTCTGTCACAGGACAGAAGATGCCCTTGACGGATGGTGGACCAGTCTGATCTCTGTGCTGAGCTCAGCAGCAGAGCCTCTCCCAGAGGCCTGCCTAGGAACATGTTCTGGCCTTGTTGGCCCTGGAAGGGGGGTGGCCTTTTCAGTTCAGTTTACCCACAGTGTGAGCCTGGAGCTGTCCTTTTGGAGAAAGTGAGGAGATGAGGCTCACTGGCAATTAGGACCTCACAGATCATCTTCCTGAGACATGAGGCTGGCCCAGAACTCAGGAATAAATCTGTTTGACCTCTGTGCAATCTGACTGTGAGAGACTCCCAAAATAACAATCTGAGTGTTTATCTTGGGCTGCCTCCTCTCCAGGGATCTCCAAACACTTGATAAATCTGATCCTGTGCCAAGGACAGGTGGTCAGACTGTCCCTGGGAGACTGAGTGATGATGGATCCCCAGCTGGAAGCTGCAGGGTGATGGAAAGTTTCTTCTCTCTGCCCCCTCATCACCTACCCTGTGGCCAGAAAATACAGATTCCCTCAGGCCATACTAGTGCTGCTGTTAAAGGTTTGTTGGCCAGCAGGACCCTCCTTCCCTCTCCTTTCCTCTGCTGCCCTGGGGCAGCCTCTGTCAGCAGTCCTGTTGTTGGCCCAGGCCTCTGGTTCTGACAGGTCTTGACTTTTTCCTGGGGCTCATGCTCTCATCTCTATTCTTGGAGGCCATCTGAGTGGCAGTGCTTGCCTTGGTTACACGGTGCAATTCCAGAGTGAGCCAGAGCACATATACACCCAGGGAGCCCAGACTGACAAATTGGATGTGACTGGAGTCCAAGCCCCCAGTGAAAAGCTTGCAGTGCTACTTCTTGTTCAGTGACCTGTATCCCTTCCCACTTAAGGAGGAAGACTAAAGATTTTAAACTTACATCTTGGCCTGTGACAACTTGGGAGCACAATTTCACCAAGAGATGGCAGAGACAAGTTAGCAGGAGCCTTACCTTCTCCAGTTGAGTTAAGGGCTCGATTTTTTTTTCATGTGAGTCGTACAGTGGTCTGAATTCTCAAAATACTGGAAACCGCAGCATCCCTACTTCTTTAGAATTACTTAAAAAAGTAATAGCTAATTTTATCAAGTACCTACTGAATACCAGGTACAGCGTGAGGCAGTTTACATCCTTGAACTAACCTAATCTTCATGGTAACCTCAAGTTGCTGAAAACTGAGGCTCAGAAAACTTGCTCACAGTCACACAGTTAAGCTAGTCACTAGTGGGGCAGAAATGGGACCTTAGGTCTGTCTGTCCTTTGCCATAGATCCCCAGTGACTTTCTACTCATGATGCCTCCTCTTGTTTCCCAGAGCCATCTGGAGCCCAAGGCTGCCGACCTTCCATCTTCTGCCACTGTCCTTGGCTTGTGCACTGATTCTCTGCCTAGGAAAAGACCATGCAGCTGGAGATCAAAGTGGCCCTGAACTTCATCATCTCCTACTTGTACAACAAGCTGCCCCGACGCCGGGCAGACCTGTTTGGGGAGGAGCTAGAGCGGCTCTTGAAAAAGAAATATGAAGGTCACTGGTACCCTGACAAGCCACTGAAGGGCTCTGGCTTTCGCTGTGTCCACATTGGGGAGGTAGTGGACCCTGTGGTGGAGCTGGCCGCCAAGCGGAGTGGCCTGGCGGTGGAGGATGTGCGGGCCAACGTGCCTGAGGAGCTGAGCGTCTGGATTGACCCTTTCGAGGTGTCCTACCAGATTGGTGAGAAGGGGGCTGTGAAAGTGCTGTACCTGGATGACAGCGAGGGCTCTGTTGCCCCAGAGCTGGACAAGGAGATCAAGAGCAGCTTCAACCCTGATGCCCAGGTATTTGTGCCCATTGGCAGCCAGGACAGCTCCCTGTCCAACTCTCCATCACCATCCTTTGGCCAGTCTCCCAGCCCCACCTTCATCCCACGCTCTGCCCAGCCCATCACTTTTACCACTGCCTCCTTTGCTGCCACCAAGTTCGGCTCCACCAAGATGAAGAAGGGCGGTGGGGCAGCGAGTGGTGGGGGCGTGACCAGCGGTGGGGCAGGTGGCCAACAGCCCCCACCGCAGCAGCCTCGCATGGCCCGCTCTCCCACCAACAACCTGCTGAAGCACAAGGGTCTCTCCCTGTCTATGCACTCGCTGAACTTCATCGCGCCCAACCCGGCCCCTCAGTCCCAGCTCTCACCCAATGCCAAGGAGTTCGTGTACAATGGTAGTGGCTCTCCCAGCCTCTTCTTTGATGGGGCCGATGGCCAGGGCAGTGGGGCTGGCACCTGCAACAGCAGCAGCAGCTTTGACATGGCCCAGGTATTTGGAGGTGGCACCAACAGCCTCTTCCTGGAGAAGACGCCCTTCGTGGAAGGGTTCAGCTACAACCTGAGCACCATGCAGTATCCCAGCCAGCCGCTCCAGCCTGTTGTGCTGGCCAACTGACCACGCCCTGCCTGCGGGGCCAGGAGCACCCAAGACCACAGAAAAGAAAAAGGAAGGGAAAGGAAAGGAAAGGCCAAAAAAAGAGGAAAAGAAAAATACACAAAAATTTCCAATCTTCTCACTCACTCCTAGAGAGAAGACGCAGTCGAGGCATGGATTGGGAGGGGGCTCCCGAAGCACCTGAACCGTGTTTAACTCAACCTCCTTGCTGTTTTCCTGCCTGCCTCTGATTTATTTGGTTGGTTTGGGTTTTTGGGATTTTTTTCTTTTTTTTTTCCTTACATGTAGTTTTCTATATAACATCTTTAATTAGTGGCTTCCTGTGCTAAGAATGGTCCAGATGTGAATTGCTGCTCCGTCCCTTCCTCCCTCCCTCCTTCACACACCTGGTTTAGGATTGGTGTGTCCAAGCTCCCAGGGAAGGAAGAGCCGCGGCTGGGGCCTGGCCTGCCTCAGAACAGGGAGAAGCTGTCTCATGTCACTGCGTCTGTCACCCAGCTATCCTCTCAGTCAAAGCCATCCAACCTCAGCAGGCCTCCTTGTGTCCTGCCACCCAAATAGGTCTGACCCCAGTCCCCACTCCTCAGGCATGGGTCACAGGGAGCTGCCTGCTGGCCACTTGACACCCTCCCCCCAGAGCTGATGTCTAACTCCAGGGAGGTTAGCACTCTATTGGAATTCCTTTCATCTCTGTCCTGTGGCCCCCACACCACCATTCCCACCTGGTGTCCCAGACTACATGGCCCTGGAGACGGAGCCATTGACACATGTGGCCTCTCGTGCAGTCCCTTCTTCCCTGGGCCTGAGATTGTGGATAGGGAGGTAGGCCAGTGTGGGGGTGAGTGTGTGCGTGCATGGGCGTGATTTGCTGTCCTGTTTTAAAGGATTCCGAGCCATGTGAAACTTCCCCTCTGGATATGATTCTGGGTTGTCAGAAGTGCTTATTTATGTTTGAGGTGGGGGGATGGTCCAGGGTGGGTTGTCAGTCCTTTCGTTGGGTGGTTCACATGTTGGGGGGAGACTACTGTGGCTGAGCCTGAGACACTCCCAGGGGAAAGCACTGCAGAAGGAACTGGCTTCCAGACTGCAGAGGGATCTGCACTTTTGTTTTTGACCAAAAAAAAAAAAATTTTTTTTTTAAATGGGTTAGCTGTGAGGGGCTGAGGGAATACCCAGCCCCTGATGCCTAAGAGAAGTCTCTGTACCCTCCTGTCATGTGACGTTGGCCCAGGGTGGGAGCTGCTCACCTAAGCGCCCTGGAGGTGGGCGTTTCGGGTCAGTGCCTGTAGGCAGCCCTGAGCCTTGAATGGGGACTTTTGGGCCCTTTGGTTGTAGATGTTGTAATACATTTCCGCCCCTGCCTGCTTGAGAACTTTTTGGTACCTCTTGCCATCCCTTCTCACTGCCTGACCCAACCCCACTGGGCCTTGATGCCGTGAAGAGTGGTCTTCTGGGCAGGCCAGCCTTCGCCATTGAAGCTGGGGTGTTTGGATTATAGAAGAGCATTTGCTCCCCATCTTTGCCAGAAGGGAAGTTGTTTCTCCAACCCAACCCTAGTGGGCCAGCTTCCATGCCATGGTGCTTTGGCAACTGGAGTACATGGCATCAGGGCCCCCATCACCGGAAAGTACCAAAGCCCTTGGCACCCCACCCCATCTTCCCCAGCGACCCCAAGTGGGCAACTGCTGTGGCAGTGGGTCCAGCCCAGACAGACACTGCCAGCCTTCCCTGCACTGGGCACCAGCTCTACCTCCCCCAGCAGGGCAGTGCCCTGGTTCCTCAGCCCAGCACCATCTGTCCCCTTAGACTTCTCAGGGGCCAGCCCAGTCTGGGCCACCCTCTCTCCCTAGCCCTTGGCTCCCACACAGGTGACAGGCCCAGGCAGATTGCTGCTCCTTGGGAAAGGTTGGATGCTGCCTTATGCCCCCTCTCAGCTCCCTCCCAAACTCACGCACCCAGGTCCCCACCATACCTGGTCAGCTTGTTTCTCACCACACGTAGGGAGGGCGAGACCAACCCCTTAGTGTCTTGAAATACGAAGAACAGTGTGTGTTCAGGAGCATGACTCCAGTGCTGGGCTCTTGGGCCCAGTTCAGTATGTCTTGTCTCAAATCTAGGCATTTTTGCTTCAATTTTATTTTTTTTAAGAAAACAAACAAAAATCTGCACTAATTTACCTGGTTTCGTAGGAAAACTTTTTTTTTTATTTTTTACATTTTTTGGTGTCCGTTTGTATTGAATAATTTGCTACATTTGTAAAATGTAAGAGGTATATATAATATATGTATATTTCTAACGTAAAATGTAATTTTTTTCTTTTCAAGGTTTTTTCTTAAAAAGAGGAGAGAAACAGATATTTTTTCAGGAAAAACAAACTTTAAAATAAAAAAGAGGAGAATAAAACCTTTTTCTCCCTTTCCCCGTCCTCTATCTACCCCTTTCCAGGGACAAATCAAAAGGTGGGTCGTCTTGTAAAGAGTGTAAACTTTTAGTCCAGAGTGATGTATTTTTCTCAATGCAGTGAGCTATAGATACTCTAGTTTGACCCCTAGGGACGGGAAGGGGACATTGAGGCGCTGTGGAGAGGGGCTTGGGGGAGCAGGGCAATGAACTTGTTTTCTTTAGTGAAGGAGGAATACAATCAGCGTTTTGTATTCAGAATGTTGTGCAATATTTTGGAATGGGACATTGGTGTGTTTAGAGATTTAGTTTAAAAACAAAAACAAAAAGATCAAATCTGTACAGTTTATATTGTTCCAGATTTTTTTAAGTTTGTATTAAAAGCATGATATATAATAGCCTCTGCTTGCTCCTGGCTTGTTTTGTTCCTGGGCCCTGATTTGGGCTGGAGAGAGTGGGAGTGACCCGCCCCTGTCGGTTTCAAGAAAGAATTGCTCACCCTCACCTAACCCCTGGATGAGCATAGGTGTCACCGGCTCCGCTTTACCACCTATCCCATCAACACAGTGCGCCCGTGGAGTGCCCACTCCCACAGGTCCTTCTCCACGTGGAGACAGATTCCAGGAGGTTGGGAAGTACCCCAGCTCCCCCCACTCACGTGGTGGAGCCAGGACTGGAAGCAGAGCCTTGGGGACAGGATGATGCCTTTTGGGGGCTCTTAGGACAGCCTATTCCTCGGAGGCTGACGGAGGGATCAGCCTCCAGCCAGCTCTAGATCTTGCCCTTGACTCCGGACCTCTAGACCTTTAGGAGTGGGCACAGATGAGAAGAGCCCACCTGGCAGGTTCTTTCCCAAAGCCTGGTGCTTGGATTATTGGCTCCTCTTGCTGGGCAGTTCCGGAGCTGGAGCTGCTTTAGGGGTGAGAGAGCCCACCGGGGCTGGAGCTCAGCCACCTCTTAATGCTCCCGTGGGGGTGGGGGGATACAGACAACCTTCTTCCCAGCAGCAATTCACCCCAAAGGCCCCTGGGTTGGAGAGGGCAGCCATGTATTTATTGAATCTTCACCCTCTTTATCTCCGCAATATAGCTGAGAAATGGCTTCCAAGTTTGATTGCCCACTAACTTCACAAAGCTAGGAAGTGAAGCTGAGATTTTGACCTGTGTATGGCCTTTTTTCATGTATGAAACTGGTAACAGCTATGGAAGAGTGACACTGGGGGCAGGCATGGCAGAGCTGACCTTGCCGCATCAAGGCTGAGCAATGGGCAAGCAGCTCTTCTGGGCACCTGGGAGTCAGGAATCTCCTCAGGCCCCTCAATCCCCAAACTGGCCAAAACTGATCCCTCCCCTCCCAAGCATGTGACTTGGGCCTAGAACCTCTCAGACCAAACATGCAATCTCTGCATAGGGTCCTAGGAGCCCTTGATGTCCGGCCCCTCCATGGGCCACACCCCCCAACAGTATCTGTTGAGCAGAGGGAGGCCCTGGTCCAGGGTGCCTTCCAGACATTGGCCGCTCCCAGGGGTCTCACTTTCCTCTGTCCTGCCAGGGAGAAGCCCAGCCTGTCCCTATATCCCTGTGTCCAGGCTGTGGCCCACTTGTGGCCCCAGGGCCCCTTGCATGCCTTCCTATTTATGTTAATATAAATAAAGCACCTGGCATAGGTGCTTTACCTGCCACGGAAGCACAGGTGGGACAGCAGTTACAGGGCAGGTGTGCACAGGGGGCCCAGGATCAGGAGGCAAAGAAAGTAGGAGTTAACCAGGAAGGAGAAAAGCAAGGCCGAGGCCCCTCCCCAGAGAACCTGTCCGGAGGATGCCCTTCAGGGAAGAGTCTGGACTCCTCTTTCTTTGAAGATTCAGGTTCGAGTCCCACCCCTGCCACTCCCTAGCTGGGTGACTTTAAGCAAACCACTTCACCCACTCTGTCAGCTCATTTCTTTCACCTCTAAAATAACTGCTTCCTTGTGAAATTAAATGAAATAATGGGAATGCTGAGCATAGTGGCTGGCCCAGAGTAAACAAGTAGTATTTTCATCATCAGGGCCATTATTGTCCTTCCACAAATGCCACTGGCCAACCCAGTCCAGGATGTGTCCTCACATCAGCAAACAGACCGAAAACCAACGCTGGCAGCAGCAAGACCAGGCTGGGGTGGGAAGGGAAACCATTCTCCCGAGCAGCAGAGCCTCTGCTGGCTCCCACTTTGCCCTCTGCCGGGCGGGGAGGCTGCTTGTCCCCCAGCAAAACAGCATCCTGTAAAGTATGCTGATCATCATGCTCCTCTCCAGGGGCCTTGGAATGGGATGGGCCCTCCATGTGTGTCCTGAAACCTCCTGAGAGTCTCTCCCTAGAGAGGCAGATGGGCGGGTGGGGGTGAGTCATGGCAGCAGAACTGTGCTCTGTTCCTCACTGTCTGCCTGAGTCGGTGCCCGCCCGTAAGCCAAGGGGATGCCACTGTCTGGTCCCCCCCACTACCATCCTCTCCCTGAGTGATTCATTGGGTGGAGGGGCACACTCTCACCCTCCCTCCTTCTTTCCCTGGGCCTGGCCAGTTTGGCCAAGTCCTGCCTGGGCAGGGCCTAAGGACAGGCCGGGGCCAGTCAGGAGGTCTCCAACTCCCTGGGAATAGGCACCTGCTGATCTACTGGTTTTTAATTTAGGGAATTTCACTGCCAGCAAGAGAAGTGTGCTCTCAGTCCTCATAGCTGTCAGCTCTCTGTGTAACTTCAAACACCATTCTCCCCTCTTGAGATCTATCCCATTTGTATGAGGGACTAGGGCTTCTGCTAGGGCTAGGCTTCTGCTAGGCCCTGCTAGGCCATGGCAGAAGCAAGCCCAAGGGACCGTAAGTGCCCAGAGGAGGCTCCTACCCAGCCCAGGAAGGCTCTTCAGAGGGTTGATAGAAGCTAGAGCGTGAGGAGTTATGGCACCGCACACATGCCAAGTTGTTTAAGGTGACGCAGCAAGATGACACCTGGACTCAGAATTGAGGGGGCTCCAGGAGGTCAGCAGGGAGGAGAACAGAGAAACTAGACTCAGAGGAGTGAGGTGGGGAGGCCACGGGCACCTCAAGTGTAGATGACCCCTTCAAGAAGCCACAGATACATCCAGAAGGCAGAAATGTAAACATAAACTATAAAACTATAAAAGAGGAAATCTTTGTGTTCTTGCATTAGGCAAAGATTTCTTAGCTATGACTCCAAAAGAATGATCCAGAAAAGAAAAATAACTGGTAAATTGGGACTTTCCCAAAATTTTAAAAAACTTCCCTGTTAAGACACTGTTAAGAGGTGGAAACCAAGTCACAGACTAGGAGAAAATACTTGCAAATTATATATCTGATAAAAAGGTTTGTGTCCAGAATCTATAAAGAACTTTCAAAACTCATTTATAAGAAATAAAGCCAATACAAAAATGACACTTCCCAAAGAAGATATATGAATGGCAAATAAGCACATGAAAAGAAGCTCGACATCATTGGGCATTAGGGAAATGCGAACTGAAGTCACAATGAGCCACACCCATTAAGACAGCTAAAAGTAAGGACACTGACCATGCCGAGTATTCGCAGAGCTGAACGAGGACTTCACGCACTGCTGGTGGGCGTGTAAATGGTCTAACCACTTTGGAAACTAATTTGGAATCTTCTTTATAAATTATGCCCTGGTTGGCATGACTCAGTTGGCTGGAGTGTTGTCTCATACACCAGAAGGTGGCGGGTTCAATTCCCGGTCAGGACACATACCCAGGTTGTGGGCTCGACTCCTGGCCAGGGCTCATTTGGAGGGCAGCCAATGGATGTTTCTCTCTCACTTCCATGTTTCTCCTTCTCTCTCTCCCTCTCTCTCTCCCTTCCTCTCTCTAAAAAATAAATATATCAATAAATATATCAATAAAAGTTAAACATTGCCCGGCCAGTGTGGCTCAGTGTTTGAGCGTTGACCCATGAACCAAGAGGTCCCCGGTTGGGATCTGGATCGGGGCACATGCCTGGGTTGCGGGCTTGAACCCCAGTAGGGGGCGTGCAGGAGGCAGCTGATCAATGACTCTCACCAGTGTTCCTATCTTTCTATACCTCTCCCTTCCTCTCTTTCTAAAATCAATATAAACATGTTTTTTTAAAAAAGTTAAGCATACAACTATGATGTAAGCCAGCCATTCCATTGCTAAATATTTATTTACTTATTTATTGTTTTCATTACTTAGAGAATACTTTTTAGTTCCTGTCATCCGTTCCTAAGTAGTTACCCATAAGAAAAGGAAATACATGTCCATACAAAGACTGGCACACGAATGTTCACGGCAGCTTTATTCACAAGCCCCAATCGGAAACCAACCAAACGTCTGTCAAGGCCTGAAGGCTGAGCCAACTCCAATACAGCCACACTATGGAATACTACTCAGCCATAAAAAGAAGTAACAAGCGGTTATTATTTTGAGGAGGACTCTCAAAATAATAATGCTGAAAGCCAGACCCCCTTCCCCCAAAAATACATACTGTTTGAATCCATTTACAGAAAATTCTAGAAAACGCAAACTAATCACTGAACAACAGAAAGCAGTTTAGTGGTTGCCTGGGGACACTCCGGAGGGAGGGATTAAAAAGGGAATGAGAAAACTTTTGGGGGTGATGGGTACAGTCATTATCTTGACTGTGGTGATGACAGTCATGGGTGTATAATGTGTCAAAATGAATCAAATTATAATCTTTTTTCTTTTTTTTTAAAATATATCTTTATTGATTTCAGAGAGAGGAAAGGAGAGGGAGAGAGAGAGATAGAAACATCAATGATGAGAGTCATTGATTGAGCCCGCAACCCGGGCATGTGCCCTGACCGGGAATCGAACCCTGATCGCCTGGATCCCAGGTCGACGCTCAACCGCTGAGCCAC